TTATTATCATTGAGAATAATTAAATCTAAATGTGTATATGTATACATTGAATTCCTTATCATCAATTAATGGTTGTTCAAGATAATCTCTATCATGTGTATCAGCTTCTAATCGTCATTCAATTTCTTCATTTATTTCCGTATCATCAGACATTATTCGATTTGAATCCTAAATTAAAATAAATATTTAAAATTTGTTAATGTTTATTTTGTTTAATTAAATTACATCAAGTTTTTTCATTAAAATAGCAACAACAACATTAACAAGAACAAATATAACAAAATAAATCGGTGCTAATACTGTCATTAAATGATTTTTTCCCCCATGTGGAGAATCATCTTGACGTAACGCATCGTTTTATATTGAAAATCATATAGAGATTTTACAAAAGATAAATAATAATAATTAAAGAAAAAGACTAAGAGTTACTTTCATTATTCCTTTCCAATTATCATCAGTTGCAATACGAAATAATGTTAAAAGAGCCATACCAAAATCCTTAAAATGTGCATGTTTATCAAGTCCAGTACATGAACGTTCTTCACTACATTCTAATTTTCCAAATAATTCAACACCAAGTGCAGTAAATATGAGGAAAAGAAGAAAAAATAAATAAAAGACCCTTTATAGAAACAAATAAATTATTATTATTAGATTAATTAATAAGATAATATTCTTTTTTTACCAAATTTCCAACTTGTGGAAGAGCTTGAATAACTGTATCTAATAATGCTCGAATACCTTTTGCCATTTTTAATAATTTAAGTACTACAATTAATTCAACTTTTCATTTAGATATTTGTTTCTTTTTTCAAAAATTCATAACAAAAAAATTTCTGCCATATTTAAATAAATTTTTTCTCTCAACTCAAATCTTTATTTTAGATATTTGACATCAAATTTCAATAATTCATTATATTTTTTCATAACTAATTACTTCACATCAATGTAATGATGTTAAACACATAAAAAACTTAGTATAATATACTGTTTACTTGTCAAATGTCTTTTATAGTTTGTTCGAGGGGTAAACAACTGAGACTTCAGCCTTGAAATCTGATGAAGTCTTGTAAAATCTTTTAAAAATTTGAAATCTCTATGCTTGAAATTCGCTGTTTTCCCCTCGAATTTCCTTATTTGTTAAATAGGAAGTTGTTTTTTTTCTTATTATGGTAAATGTACTCGTTATGCATTTATCAATTAAGATAAAAGAAGAGTAGGAAATTTTCAAAATTTGATCAAACAAAATGTAAGAGGAAAGATGAAATCTTCTCTAATTTATGTTACTATCTTAAATAGAAAAAGAATCTGTTAAATAGCTAAATTATCTGAATAAATCATACAATAAAATATAAAATTTAAAACAACTAACCTCATGCAATTCTGAGTACTCTCATAACACGTATAAGAGTTGGATTAATAGGAAGTATATGTCTACTATTCATTTTTTCTAAAACAATTTCAGCTATTGATAATATAACTATTGTTATATCAAGTCGAATCCATCTTTACATAAATAAAACAAATAATAAAAAAATCTTTCTGTGTTTTTTTTAATAAAATACTTGTCTTTAAAATAACGTAATGTTCCAAGAGCAATAATCTTTGATATTGATTCAAAGTTGTAAATACATAATTACAATAATCAAGAACCAAATCAAATACCTATAGAATATTTAATAAATGAAAATAAATAATAAAGAAAAACAAAAGAATACCGGTTGGATTAAATAAAATTCTAATGACATAGTAACAACATTAAGACCACTAACAGCAGTAATAATTAAATCGAAATATTTACTATTACAAATATTATGCAAATGTCTTCTCCATGATGAAAAATGTGCATAATATAGTATTTCATGCATATGACGTCTTTTACGTTCAATTTTTTTTGCACGTTTAGCTGTA